ACCTATGAGGACAGGGCTGAGGCCACCCGCCTTGTCCTGTTGTCCCCAGACCCTCCATCCTTCATGTTCCTATTCCCAAGAATCCCTGCGGGGTTATCCCCACCATCCCCATTTCCATCCCTATCCCCAGCATCCCTGATATCTGCCCACGGTCCTACCTGGTGCAGATGGTGATCTTGATGGAGCGGATCGCACCCTCCCGTTCCTTGCCTGCCATGGGGACAATGAGGGGACATTGAAGGGGGCACACACAGAGTGGGGACATAGGGGGGACATGTGGGGGACTCACCCGTCTTCACGTCCTCCACTTGCACCCGCAGGTCAAAGCTGTCACACTTGTTGTCCTTCTCGGGGACGATGGCGTTGTAGATGGTCACCACGGTCATGGTCCCCTTGCCCGTGCCCTCAGCCTTCACTGTGAAGTCCTCATTAAACTTGGTCTATGGGGAGACAGGCCATTGAGATGGGGCAGGGACACTGGGAGGGACATGGAGGGATGGGACAGTGAAGGACATGGAGGGGACAACAGCACTGCATGATGCGATGGAGGGATGGACGTTGGAGGACATGGAGAGGACAAGAGCATTGCATGATGTGATGGAGGGATGGACATTGAAGGAAAAGGAGAGGACAAGAGCGTTGCATGATGCGATGGAGGGATGGACGTTGGAGGACATGGAGAGGACAAGAGCGTTGCATGATGTGATGGAGGGATGGACTTTGAAGGACATGGAGAGACCAACAGCGTTGCATGATGCAATGGAGGGATGGACGTTGAATGACATGGAGAGGACAAGAGCGTTGCATGATGTGATGGAGGAATGGATGTTGGAGGACATGGAGAGGACAAGAGCATTGCATGATGTGATGGAGGGATGGGCATTGAAGGACATGGAGAGGACAAGAGCATTGCATGATGTGATGGAGGGATGGACATTGAAGGACATGGAGAGGACAAGAGCATTGCATGATGTGATGGAGGGATGGACATTGAAGGCCATGGAGAGGACAAGAGCGTTGCATGATGCAATGGAGGGATGGACATTGGAGGACATGGAGAGGACAAGAGCGTTGCATGATGCGATGGAGGGATGGACATTGAAGGCCATGGAGAGGACAAGAGCGTTGCATGATGCAATGGAGGGATGGACATTGGAGGACATGGAGAGGACAAGAGCGTTGCATGATGTGATGGAGGGATGGACATTAGAAGACATGGAGGGGACAAGAGCGTTGCATGATGCAATGGAGGGATGGACATTGGAGGACATGGAGAGGACAAGAGCGTTGCATGATGCGATGGAGGGATGGACATTGAAGGCCATGGAGAGGACAAGAGCGTTGCATGATGCAATGGAGGGATGGACATTGGAGGACATGGAGAGGACAAGAGCGTTGCATGATGCGATGGAGGGATGGACATTGAAGGCCATGGAGAGGACAAGAGCGTTGCATGATGCAATGGAGGGATGGACATTGGAGGACATGGAGAGGACAAGAGCGTTGCATGATGTGATGGAGGGATGGACATTAGAAGACATGGAGGGGACAAGAGCGTTGCATGATGTGATGGAGGGATGGACATTGGAGGACATGGAGGGGACAAGGGCCATTCCAGGCCCCAGCAAGACAAGGGGACATGGAGACACATGGCAGGGACATCCCAAGCCTTGGAACGTCCCCATAGGCCATAGAGAGGGGACATGAAGCGACACAGAGGGGACAGGGCCACCCCATGGCCACTGCCATGGCCCCCCCGGTACCTCTGCGGAGCGGGCCACCAGCGCGTTGAGGTTCTCGATGCGGTAGGTGATGGCGTTGGCGCGCCGGGGCAGCAGCACCGACACGTCCAGGTCCAGGTTGAGCTCCCGGGGTGATGCCACCTGGTACTGGGCCAAGGCTTGGAACACCAGTATGGTGGCCTGCAGGGACACCGGTGTCACCAGGGCTTGGGGACATCGCCTGGAGCATCCCTGTGGTGGCCCTGAGCTCAGGGTGACCCCCAAGCACTTGGAACGTGCCCTTGGAGGTGTTATGGGGCAGGGGGAACCTCCAGGACAGGATGAGACCATGAGGGTCCACAGGAGCTGGAGGTGGCCCCAGGGACAGGGCTCGTGGGGTTTCTAAAGCACTTGAGATCCCATGGGAACAAGGGTGTTCCTCAAGGATATAGGGGGTCCCAAGAGCCCTGAGGTGACCCCCTAAGCTCTAAGAGCACCCCCAATGCCTTTAGGTTCCCATAGCAGCTGGGGTATTCCCCAAGGGCCCTGAGGTGACCCCCCCAAGCCCCAGGAGTTCTCCCAATGCCTTTAGGGCCCCATAGGATCAAGAGTGTTCCCCAAGGACAGTGGGATCCCAAGGACCATATGGTGACCCCCAAGACCTAAGTGGCACCCCAATGCCTTTCGGTTCCCATAGGACCAGAAGCGTTCCCCAGGGACATGGGGGATCCCAAGGGCCATAAGGTGGCCCCCAAGCCCCGAGTCACCCCTCAATGCCTTTCGAATCCCATAGCACCAGATGTGTCCCCCATGACACATTCCAAGTCCCTGGAATCCCCGTGGCCATTGGCGACCCCTTCAGCACTCAAACCCTCTCTCCATGCCCCCATCCCCGTGGCAGCGGGTGCCAGCGCAGCACCCATGGGTGCCAGGGGGGTCCGTAGCCCACCTGGGTGGATCCGTAGCCACCTCCAAAGTAGTTCTGCTGGGCCAGCCACCGGGCCACCGGCCCCGTCAGCTCCGGCTTCTCCATCCTCAGCAGGGCCAACAGAGCATAGGAGGTGCCCTCAATGTTGTAGGTGAAGGCGTTGCGCTCCTCCCACCGGTTGCCCTCTGGGGTGACATCGGTCCCTCAGCACCCTCTAGGGATGGGTACTCCCCACACCATAGAAGGGGATGGGTTGGGCTGGAAGGGAGCTTAAAGCTCATCCAGGGCCAATCACCTTCCACTAGGGCAGGATGCTCCCAGCCCTGTCCAGCCTGGCCTTGAATAGGGATGGTTCCTCCAAACCTCCGTTCAACCCAACCCAGTGTCCCACTACCCTCATAGTGAAGAATTCCTTCATCTCCAACCCCAACTTCCCCTGTTTCTGTTGGAACCCATCACCCCTTGTCCCATCCCTGAGGAAGGTCCCTCCATGTCCTCCTTATGTCGAGGACACCAGAGCTGGGTGCAGCACCCAAGTGGGGTCTCACCAAGCAGAGCAGAGGGGCAGGATCCCCTCCTTGGACCTGCACCCACTCTATGGTTGCCTGGGTCCTGTTGAGCATCTCCTCACCCAACACCCGCAAGGCCTTCTCAGGCTCCTCCATCCAGTCCGTGCCTCCCTTGGGACCATCCCAACCCATGGGCAAGGACCTTGCCCTTGGTCCCATTGATCTCCATGAGGTTCCCACCTTTCCAGGTCCCTCTGGATCCCATCCCACCCCTCCAGCTCAGTGCCACCACAACCGTGCCCATGTCCCCAACAGCGATGCTGAGCCCAGCACCGACCCCTCAATCTCCACTTGGCCATCGAGCCATTGACCACAGCTCCCTGCTAACCCATAATTCCCCCTCCATCCAATCGGACATCACCTTTGGAGAACTTCATGAGAACCTTCTCGCTCTTGAGCTTCCCTGTCAAGGCCAAGGCGTAGGAGCTCAGGGCCACCGTGTAGGGCCGGGACAACGACTGGTACCTCCGGGCCAGGTATTCAGCAGCTTTGGAGATGCCTTTATCCAAGCTCTGGGCAGAAAGGAGGCAAGTTTGGATTCTCGGGTGGCTGCCATGAAGGCTGAGCCCCTCGTCTTGAGGCGCTTGTCCCTTGTTGCGTCCCCTCTCCATCCCCATATGGGCTCACTCACGTTGACGTGGGCCTTGCAGATGTCCCGGGCCTCTTCCAATGCGATGAGGACAAAGGCTGTGAGCGACACCTCGGGCTCGGCACCCTGGTAACCTCCCTGTGTGAGAGATGGAGAAGGAAGACCTCAGCGTCGTGGTCTTCCACACCAAGCTCTGGCCGCCGAATCCTCATCCCCATCACCCAACATCATCCTTCCCGTTCCATCAGCCAACAGGGCTCGTATCCTCCCCCCCCGTTACCACCATCTCCTTATGGATGACAGGAGCATCTTCTTGGAAGATCCCGTCTGGTTTCTGCCTGTTCAGGATGAGCCACTTCACCGCACCACAGACCACCTCGTGCTCGATGTCTACCAGCTTGATGGCCATGGCAAAGACTTTGGCCACGTAGGCAGTCAACCTGGGGACAGGAGAACCTCAGCGCCACGTCCAACCCTGTCACCCAGACTCACGGTGGCCGCAGGACCTCACCAAGTGCTCGATGGACGGTTCTTGAAGGCCGCATAGGAGCTGTCAGGCTTCCGGAACGCGAGCTGTTGGGTGTAACCTGGGGAGGAGGTGGTGGTTGGGCACCTCAAGGAGCACCCAGCCAAGCTTCAGGCCCCCAACCCATTCCTGGAGCCCATTCCAGGCCTTCCAATAAGAGATCCCCAACCTGCTTGCACCCAAGAGCTCCTTCAAAGCTCCTTCAGCACCTTGGGTGATGGGGACATTTGGCACCCCAAGAGAGGAACCCAGGAAATGCTCCCCCCCCCCATCCTTTGGGGGATGCTCTTACCCTTCTTGATCAAGTTGATGGCATCAGCGCGGCGGTCGACACCGAGGCTCTCCCATTGCAATGTGCTGTCCAAGTAATGGGTGGCAATGACAGTGGGGGTCATCCCGATCATGTTCTGCTCCCCACAGCCCGAGGGTGTCACGATGAGATGCTTCAGCTTCTCCCCATCCAGGGCTTTCTCCACCATGATGGACACGGGGTTGCCTGGACAAGAAGGGGAGATGTGAAGCCAGGAGGATCCCAAGGCCTTGGCCCCACATGTGCCCCTTCCCTTGGGCTCACCTTGGATGCTGACTTTGGTCTCCGACTCGGTGTTGGGGACGATGTCGGAGAGGTTGGCAGCCTTCACCCTTTCCTCCTGCACCCCATCTGTGGGGCAGGATGGAGGTGGGTGACCCCAAATCATGTCCCCTCCCCACACCATAAGGTTGAGCCAGCCCTGCCCCACATCTGCCGCAGGATGTCCCTTGGTGCTCAAGATGCTACAGAGCCACATCAGGATGTCCCTTCTTCATTGAGATGCCTCAGCTCCAAGTAGGATGTCCCTTGGCCCCACAGACCCATAGTAGGACCTCCCTTATCCCCACAATGGGACTTCTTTTGCCCCATAGATGCCCCAGACCTTTCCCTCAGTGGAACATCCCTGTGGGGCTGAGACATCCCCAAGACCAGATGGGGGACTCACCGACTCCCTTCTTCTTCGGGTCCAGCTCGATTATCTTCACTGTCTTCTCCACTCTCATCCCTTCGGGCTGCAGAGGTGAGAGTCCAGTGCTAAAGGTTGGGTTTGGGTCCCCCTTTCCCATCTCCAGGAGATCCCAATGCTAAAGGTTGGGTTGGGTTTGGGTCCCTCTTTGTCATCTCCAGGAGATTCCAATGTTAAAAGTTGGGTTTAGGTTCCCCTTTCCCATGTCCAAGAGATTCCAATGCTCAAGGTTGGGGTTGGGTCCCCCTTTCCCATCTCCAGGAGATCCCAATGCTAAAGGTTGGGTTGGGTTTGAGTCCCCTTTCCCATCTCCAGAAGACCCCAATGCTAAAGGTTGGGTTTGGGTCCCCCTTTCCCATCTCCAGGAGATCCCAATGCTAAAGGTTGGGTTGGGTTTGGGTCCCCCTTTCCCATCTCCAGGAGATCCCAATGCTAAAGGTTGGGTTGGGTTTGAGTCCCCTTTCCCATCTCCAGAAGACCCCAATGCTAAAGGTTGGGTTTGGGTCCCCCTTTCCCATCTCCAGGAGATCCCAATGCTAAAGGTTGGGTTGGGTTTGAGTCCCCTTTCCCATCTCCAGAAGACCCCAATGCTAAAGGTTGGGTTTGGGTCCCCCTTTCCCATCTCCAGGAGATCCCAATGCTCAAGGTTGGGTTGGGTTTGGATCCTTCTTCCCAACCTCTCCCTGTTGCCCCAGTAGAAACCAGCAGCCTTATCTCATGCTCCAAACTAGAAAAGCCCCACTTGAGCATCCTTGGTGGGCAGCATCCTTCATCCCTGGGTACCAGCCCCATGGGGACACAGGGCTCTGTGCTGGGAGCATCTCAGTGACGGTGACAGCACCATGGGGAGGCCACTCACCACCACTTTGAGCTTCTTCTTGACACCATCGGCCACGAAGCGGCCCTGCACGGCCGCCTTCACCTCGACCTCATGGAGCCCCAGCTCCATGGGCACGATGACGAAGGGCACAGCCCATGAGGACTGGGGCTCCAGGCTGAGGACCTGCTGGTAGCGCTGCTTGGTGGTGGAGGCGCTGCACAGCGCTGGGTTGTACATCAGCTCCACGCGCACCTATGGGCCCCAGGAGATGGTGCTCAATGGGGTTGAGGTGACCATGGACACCCCTCACCCCGCCCCGTGGTCCCCACGGCTTGGGTCTCCTTTTCCTACCGTGATCTTGTGTGTCCAATAGTTGTAGAGGATGGCGCGGATCTCCACCTGCTCGTTCCTCACCACCGAGTAGGGCAGGCGCAGGTCCATGAAGAACTCCTTCATCACCGTGATCTCATAGGGGTCGGCCACGCACAGCCCTAGGGGGTGAGCGCATTGAGTCAGGCTTGTGGGGGGCTCAGGAGCATCGCTAAGGGTTAGGAGCTCCTTCAGGTCCCATTGAGTCCTCCCAAGGCCCATGGAGTCCTCCCAAAACTTAGGAGAGCCTTCAAGTCCAATGGGGTCCTCCCAAAGCCCATGGAGTCCTTCCAAGACTTAGGGGATCCTTCAAGTCCCATTGAGTCCTCCCAATACCCATGGAGTCCTCCGATCCTTGAAGTCCAGTGGAGTCATTCCAAGGCTTAGGAGATCCCTCAAGTCCCACAGAGTCCTCCCAAGGCTTAGGAGATCCTTCAAGTCCAATGGAGTCCTCCCTGTGCCCATGGAGTCCTCCCAAAGCTTAGGAGACCCTTCAAGTCCAATGGAGTCCTCCCAAGGTCCATGGAGATTCCTCAAATCCCATGGAGTCCTCCCAATGCCCATGGAGTCCTCCCAAAGCTTAGGAGACCCTTCAAGTCCCATTGAGGCCTCCCAAGTCTCGTGGAGTCCTCCCAAGGCTTAGGAGATTCCTCAAGTCCCATTGAGTCCTCCCAAGGCTTAGGAGATCCTTCAAGTCCCATTGAGGCCTCACAAGTCTCGTGGAGTCCTCCCAAGTCTCGTGGAGTCCTCCCAAGGCTTAGGAGATCCCTCAAGTCCCATTGAGTCCTCCCAAGGCTTAGGAGATCCTTCAAGTCCCATTGAGGCCTCACAAGTCTCGTGGAGTCCTCCCAAGTCTCGTGGAGTCCTCCCAAGGCTTAGGAGATCCCTCAAGTCCCATTGAGTCCTCCCAAGGCTTAGGAGATCCTTCAAGTCCAATGGAGTCCTTCTAAGACTTAGAAGATCCCTCAAGTCCCAGGGAATGCCCCCAAGCTTTGATGGATGCCCCCAAGCTCCAGGGCACCTTCTTAAGGTCTTGGACATCCCTCAAACCCCAAGGAAGCCCACCAGGCTTCAGGGGTCCCTTCAAGTCCCAGGAACCATCCCTGAGGACTGGGATATTCCTTAGCTCCCCAGGGAATCCTCCATCACCTACCCTTGTTCTTGGAGATGCTGACAGCCAGGACCTCCCATGTGGTGATGGAGTCCTTCAGGTAGACAGGGAGAGTCTTTGTGGAGATCCTGGAGAGGATGGGAATGGCCAAGGGGGTCATAACGCTCCCCAAGGCAAGCTAAGGAGGTGGAAGGGGCCACCAAGCTGGTCCCAAAGCTGGACCAGGGGTTGGAGATGGGCCCTGAGCTGGACCAAGGCAGCACCATGGGGTCAGAAGCAGCCTCTGTGGGGGCTCTGGGGGGGGGGTCCTGGTGTTATGGCCCCACATGGACCATGGGGCTGGGACTCACCCCAGCTCATTGGGCTGCTCCGTCAGCGGCTCCTCCTGCCACAACCAGCTCTCGGGGAAGAGGCTCCGGGAGGTGATGTCCTCGTCGGCCAGGAAGCCATCGTCCACCTCGCCTGGGGGGGAAACGGGGCCTCTGGACCGTACCCTCAGGACCCCGTGCCCTGGGCAAAGCCACGTTCACCCCAGCATCAGCCAAGCACCAGCCAAGTGATGGCCAAGAGATGGGTGGCCATCAGCCAAGCATCGCCCAATGGAGGCACAAGCATCACCTGAGCATCGCCCAAGGGTGGCACAAGCATCACTTGAGGTTCACCCAAACATCACCCAAGGATAGCACAAGCATCACCCAATGGAGGCACAAGCATCATTTGAGGCTCACCCAAGCATCACTTGAGGTTCACCTAAGCATCACCCAAGGGTGGCACAAGCATCACTTGAGCATCACCCAAGCATCACCCAAGGGTGGCACAAGCATCACCTGAGGTTTACCCAAGCATCATTTGAACATCACCCAAGCATCACCCAAGCATCACTTCAGCATGGCACAAGCATCATTTGAACATCACCCAAGCATCACCCAATGGTGACACAAGCATCACCTAAGCATCACCCAAGGGTGGCACAAGCATCACTTGAGCGTGGCACAAGCATCACCTGAGCATCACCCAAGCATCACCCAAGCATCACCCAATGGAGGCACAAGCATCACCTGAGCATCACCCAAACATCACCCAAGCATCACTTCAGCATGGCACAAACATCATTTGAGCATCACCCAAGCATCACCCAATGGTGACACAAGCATCACCTAAGCATCACCCAAGGGTGGCACAAGCATCATCCAAGCATCACCCAAGCATCACCCAATGGTGGCACAAACATCAAACAAGCATCACCCAAGGGTGGCACAAGCATCACCTGAGCATCACCCAAGCATCACCCAAGGGTGGCACAAGCATCATTTGAGCATCACTGAAGGGTGGCACAAGCATCACTTGAGCATCACCCAAGCACCATTTGAGCATCACCCAAGGGTGGCACAAGCATCACCTGAGCATCACCCAAGCACCATTTGAGCATCACCCAAGGGTGGCACAAGCATCACCTGAGCATCACCCAAGCACCATTTGAGCATCACCCAAGGGTGGCACAAGCATCACCTGAGCATCACCCAAGCACCATTTGAGCATCACCCAATGGAGGCACAAGCATCACTTGAGCATCACCCAAGCATCACCCAAGGGTGGCACAAGCATCACCTGAGGTTCACCCAAGCATCCCCCAAGCATCACTGAAGCTCCCCCCCCCCCCCCCCCGAACCCCTCCATGTCCCATCACTTGCTTCGGGCCAGCTGGAGCTGGAGCAGGCGCTGCTTCTGGTTGCGGATGGTCCTGATGTGGGTGCAGCAGTCGAGGAAGGCCTGGACACAAGCGTCCCCGTCCTGGATGTAGGTGGAGCGATGCTCGCAGCTGTGCTCCATGGGGTTCTCCTTCATCCCGTCCTCACAGCACTTGCGCAGGGCCTTGTCCTTGTACTCGGCCGCTGCCGGCACCAAGGGACCCAGCTGGTACCCAGCCCCAGAGCCCATCACCAGGGCCATGGGGCGCGGTGGTGTCCTTTGGGATGTGGGGTGCTGTGGGGTCAGCGGGGACATGGGGTGCAATGGTGTCCTTTGGGATGTGGGGTGCTGTGGGGTCACCAGGGACATGGGACACATTGGTGTCCTTTGGGATTGTGGGATGCTGTGGGGTCACCAGGGACATGGGGTGCAATGGTGTCCTTTGGGATGTGGGATGCTGTGGGGTCATCAGGGACATGGGACACATTGGTGTCCTTTGGGATGTGGGATGCTGTGGGGTCACCAGGGCCATGGGACACAGGGGCGTCCTTTGGGATGGGGGATGCTGTGGGGTCACCAGTGACATGGGACATAGGGGTGTCCTTTGGGATGTGGGATGCTGTGGGGTCACCAGGGACATGGGACACATTGGTGTCCTTTGAGATGCGGGATGCTGTGGGGTCATCAGGGACATGGGACACAGGGGTGTCCTTTGGGATGTGGGATGCTGTGGGGTCACCAGGGACATGGGGCACGATGGTGTCCTTTGGGATATGGGACACTGGTGTTCCATGGGGCATGGGATGTTGTGGTATTTCCAGGGACATTGTGATGTCCTTCAAGGACATGGGACACTGGTACTGGGATAGGTGCCATGGGATGGACATGGGACACTGGTGTTGGGATAGGTACCATGGGATGGACATGGGACTCTGGTACTGGGATAGGTGTCATGGGATGGACATGGGACACTGGTACTGGGATAGGTGCCATGGGATGGACATGGGACTCTGGTACTGGGATAGGTGTCATGGGATGGACATGGGACACTGGTATTGACTGGGACATGGGCCCTGGTGCCCCTTGGGGCCATGGGATGCTCCCAGTGCCACCTACCCTTGGTGCCCTTGTACTCAATGAGCTGCACGGAGCGACGCTTGCGTTGTGCAGGTTGGGGACACTTCACCTCTGGGGACAGAGGGGACACAGCTCAGGACCCCGTCCCCAACCCTGGACCTCCGTTGTCCCACCCCAAAGCTGTTGGTTCACGGCACCCCTCCTTTGGATACCACCCCACCCCCCCACCCAAGGGGTCACCCCCAAGGTTGTCCCATCCCTACCCCCTCGCTGCGGTGTCGAGATCTTCACGTTGGTGACCAAGCTGAGACCAGCATCGGCGAAGACCCCCACGTTGTCCCTCCCGCTGCCCGGCGTGCAGCCGATGTCGCTCTTCTCCACCGTGTCCCAAACCTGTGGCCACCAGGGGACAACCCTGACCTCCAAAGCCCATCGTGGGGTGGGGGACGCACAATGGGGATGGCGACCTGGGCCCCCACCTTGGACTGGGTGAGTTTGTTCTTCTTGCTGAGGACGAAGACGCCCTTGTCCACGGCCACCAGGCCCACGTACGCGTTGTGGTCGCCCTCGATGCGGAGCCTCATGGGTGTCCCCGGTTCATGCACCCGGTTGTCAGCTTCCGTCGCTCCCTTCACCACCAGCTGCAGAGGACGTGGGGCTTGGGGAGGGTCATGGCCATGGGATGCCCCAAAACCCACTTGATGGCACCTCCGGGAGGTGCCCATGGGGGTAACTCCAAGGCAATGGGGTGGTGGAGTCCTCCAGGTGATGGTTGGAGATTGCACCC